TGTTGTTTGTTTGTTTGTTTTAATTGACAAGTAAAAATTGTATATATGACTTGAGTTTTTATCTGTGTGGGCACTGGGGATCAAACTCAGGGCCTTGTGCACACCAGACAAGTACTCTGCCTGTGAGAAACGCCCCCAACATTTTTTTCTTTTTTTGTTTTTAGACAAGGTTTTGCTAAGTTGCCCAGGCTGGCCTTGAACTTGTGATCCTCCAGTTTCAGCCTCCTGAGTAGCCAGGATTTGGCGTGGGTCATTGAGGACTGGGGTTAAGAGGAGGGACTGATCACCATGCCAGCCTTGGTTTTTAAAATTATGGTATTGGGCTGGGGATGTGGCTCAAGAAGTACCGCGCTCGCCTGGCATGCCTGCAGCCCGTGTTCGATCCTCAGCACCACATACAAAGATGTTGTGTCCGCCAAAAACTAGAAAATAAATATTAAAAAATTCTCTCTCTAAAAATAAAAAATAAAAATAAAATAAAATAAAATTATGGTATTTATATAAAACAAAGTTTGCCATTTAAGCCATTTTTAAGGGCTGGGGATGTGGCTCAAGAGGTAGTGCGCTCGCCTGGCATGCGTGTGGCCCGGGTTCGATCCTCAGCACCACATACAAACAAAGATTTTGTGTCCGCCAACTAAAAAAATAAAAATAAAATATTAAAAATTCTCTCCCTCTCCTCTCTCACTCTCTCTTTAAAAAAAAAAAAAGCCATTTTTAAGTATAAATTCAGCAGCATGAATTATACTCAAAATGTTGTGCAATCATCACCTCTATTTCAAAAACCTTTTCATCACCCCAAACAGAACTCTGAACCTATTAGGCAATAACTTCCCATTCCCCCCTTGCTCCAGCCTCTGATAACCTCTAATCTTTCTGTGTCTGTGAATCAACTATTCACAATATTTCAGATAAGTGAAATCATACAACATTTGGCTTTGTGTCTGGCTTATTTCACTAAGCATAATGTCTTCAAAGTTCATTCATAGAATAGCATACATCAGACCTTCATTCCTTTTTATGGCTGAATAATATTCCACTGTACATATATGCCATTTTTTTTTTAATCCATCCACCTATTAATGGACACTTGGGCTTTTCCACCTTTTGGCTATTATGAATAATGCTGCAGTACTGACATACATCTCTTTGGGTCCCTGCTTTTAGTTCTTTTGGATATGTGTCTGGAATATTGCTGGGTTTTACCATTTTTTAACATGTATTTTGACAAGGGGAAGGGCCCTTGGAACAGGGCCCAATATTTTTGAGTGTCCCACACTCAAAAGGGACAGGAAAAAGATGGGAGGTAGTTTCAGTGTGACCGTGATCAGGAATAATAGCTAACCAAGCTGGGTGCAGTGGCTCATGCCTGTAATCCCAGAGATTGTGGAGCTGAGACAGAAGGATGGCAAATTCAAGGCCAGCCTGGGCAACTTTGTGAGGTACTAAGAAGCTTAGCAAGACTCTGTCTTGAAAAGGATTGGGGATGTAATTCAGTGGTAAAGTACTCTGGGGTCAATTCCCCAGTACAAAAAAAAAAAAAAAAAAGAAGAAGAAGCTATTTGCCTATTGCATAATACTCCACATAACCCATAGGGGAAATATTATCCCTATTTTTATGAAGAGAAGGGAATGGCTTGCCCAAGGCCACATAACTGGTATGAGGCAGGGCTGGAGCCCTAAAGCAAGGTTCCCTCACATGCCACAGAGGTAGCCAGTGGTTCAGAAACGAAATTCTCCCCTTCCCTTCTCTTTTCCACCTTCCCTCCCTTCCTTTCTTCCGTCCTGATTTTTCTTTCTAGGTAAATAAAGTAGATCTGAGCTGCTTCAGTAATAATCTTTTTTTTCAGTCATAATCCTAATCTACAGCATTTTAAGGACCACTGAATTGGAATTTTGTAGTACAACTGTGCATTTTTATAAGTTCTAGAAAAACCAACTATGGATACAGAAGAAAAGATTAGTGGTTACCAAGGACTGGGTTTGAGAGGAGGGACTGATTGTAAAGGGGTATGAGGAAATTTTGGGGGGAGATGGAACTGATTTATATTTTTTGGGGGGTACTGGGGATTGAACCCAGGGGCACTTAGCCACTGAGCCACAGATTTTTATATTTTATTTAGAGACAGGGTCTTGCTTAGGGCCTCACTAAGTTGCTGAGGATGGCTTTGAACTGGGGATCCTCCTGCCTCAGCCTCCTGAGCTACTGGGATCACAGGCGTGCGCCACCACACTTGTCTTAATATATCTTGATTGCAATTGTATGCAATTTTCAAAACTCATAGAACTGTACACTAAAAAGGGTGAATTCTGCTGTGCAAATTATGACTTAATTTTTTTTTTTTTTGGCATGGTGCTCATTTGACAGATGCTCTACCACCCAGCTATACCCCCTGGCCAATACCTTGATTTTTAAAGAAAAAGAAAAAAAATGGGGGCTGGGGATGTGGCTCAAGTGGTAGCGCACTTGCCTGGCATGCGTGCGGCCCGGGTTCGATCCTCAGCACCACATACCAACAAAGATGTTGTGTCCGCAGAGAACTAAAAAATAAATATTAAAAATTCTCTCTCTCTCTCTCTCTCCTGTCTCACTCTCTCTTTAAAAAAAAAAGAAAAAAAATGAATAAATAAATGAATAGGGAAAAAAACCTAAATGAGATTCTCACAAGTTTGCATACCTTAAGAACTTTGCAAGCAACAGCACCCTTAATTATTTAGCACTAGAGCACAAATTTCTGTTTTCTTTCATTATAAAACAAAAGCCCTTAATCTACCATCCTACTCAAGACCCAGACCATTATTAACAATGAAGTCTGCCTTTAGATTTCCTGTATTTCGTCTCTATTCCTCTCTACACCTAAGTAATAATTATTCTCAATCTTCTGGTTCCTCATCCCCTTGCTCTTTTTTTTTTTAATATTTACTTTTTAGTTGTAGTTGGACACAATGTCTTTATTTTATTTATTTATTTTTATGTGGTGCTGAGGATCGAACCCAGGGCCTGGCACGTGCTAGGCAAGTGCTCTACCACTGAGCCACAACCCCAGTCCACCCTGGCTCTTGTTTTAATAGTTTTTTTTTTTTTACATATAAATTAGACTGAACTATATGAATGTCACTTTTTTATGTCAAATAACAGCAATTTCATGATTCAACCTAATCATGCCTACACACAGCAGTTCTAGGTATTTTTGAACTGCATGAAAACAATCCCATTCTGTATGCAATCTCCGGGACTCTCCTTTTTCCACTCCGTATTATATTAACCCAATCCATCCAAATTGCTGTTTTTCATTTATTTTCTACTGCTGTATAATTATTGCTTTGCTTGATTTTTTTCCACATTTATCTCCCATTAGCAGTATTGTGTGTTTTCCATGTGGGACTACCATGGACAATGTTTCTTTTCTTTTTTGGGGGGCGGGTACAGGGGATTCAACTCAGGGGTACTCAGCCACTGAGCCAGATCTTCAGCCCTATTTTGTATTTTATTTAGAGACAGGGTCTCACTTGAGCTGCTTAATGCCTCACAGTTGCTGAGGCTGACTTTGAACTGCCAAACCTCCTGTCTCTGCCTCCCAAGCCGCTGGGATTACAGACCTGCACCACCGCCACCGCTTCCATCTATGAACAATGTTTTTATTAACATTCTTTTCCACATTTCCTCCTAGTATCTGATTGCAAGAGATTTTTTTGGCTGTGCCTTAGAAATAGACTTGCTGGGTCTTACAGTACACAGATGTGCACTGTGAGTTGATTAGACCCATTTTCTCAGCTCCAAATGAGAATACAATGTGCCTCTTGCCCAAGGAGGGAACGTGTGTGAGATGTGTTGGAAGGGTTGCTGTTAAGGCTTTGCTGGAAACTGCACGCCTATGTCTAACTTAGCCAATGAACTTTTTCATATCTTTTATCTCACTGTTCATCCATTTTTTATTCCTCCCAGGTGGGGAGAGGTACCATTCTTTCTCCTTTTTGACAAGAGAAGGAAAGTGCCTTGTTCAAAAGTCAAATAGTTTGTGCCAACTGCCTGAGCAAATAATTTCCCCTCTCTAAGCCTCAGTTTCCACATCAGTAAAATGAGACTGATAATATCTGACTCCACAGATAAGTGGAAGGATTAATACCATGCAAGCTGGGAGTTTAGCTTAGATCCTGGAAAAGCTCCCTAAGTCATTTGTTTATTGGCCCTATTGTTATTAAGGGTAGCAGGAAATCAGGGTAGGGTGAATTCTGACTTCTTGCCACCCAATAGTGTTTGCCTCCTGCAGGACCCCCTTACTACTCTTGGAAGGCAGTGATCATAACCCGTTTTGGCTTCCTCTGTTGATCCAGAAGATACCTCTCAGAGCTGCATAGCCTGACGCTCTCTCCATCCTACTTGGGCAGCTCTGGAGCAGAGCTTCACCTGTAGATTTCCCGAAACAGATGAGAGGGTGAACTGACTACTGGGCAAAGAACTCAGGTCCCCTGTTCTGCCTAAGGAAATCGGCGTCAAGCCATTTTCAGTGGAGAGTATTTGCTGAAAACATAGAATGTGCCAGGCCCTGTGAGGGACATCAGGAATATAGGAGAAGACCAGACCGGTCCTTAAGGTCAGAGGCTAAAAAGAGGAGAAAGAAGACAAGAAAACAACCTGCTGAGTACCGTGGCAGGGAAGTTCAGAGAACTGTTCCACATTACAGAAAACAGGCAGGCTCCGGGAAGGCTCCCCAGACATGCCTTAGACCTGGAGCCTTAAGGGCGCTGGGAGGCTGCAGGGACGCCCGCCCATTGACAGGAGGAGAGCCCGGGGCCTGCACTCGCCCGCCGCCCCCGCGGGGCCTCACTCTCCGGGCTAGGCCGTCCGGCTGAGCGCCGGGGCCCAGCCCAGGTGCCCGCCCAGCGCCCCGGGGCGGGGCTTCAGCCCAGGTGCGCGGCGGCAGCACTTCGCGGAGGCAGGAAGTGTGTCCCCAGCGGCGGCCCGTGGAGCGCTCCCGCGAGACGCTCACCTGCGCCCCAGGTGAGCGGCGAAGGGGGCGGGGGAAGCGCTGAGCCGGAGGCCGCTCACCTGGCGGGACAGGTAAGCCCCGCGCGGGCCCGAGGGGGCGCGAACTGGGGCGGCGCCAGGGGGGGAGCCCCTCGAGGCTGCGCCAGAACGGGGGAGGGTCCCAGGTTCCGACCCCCGGGGGCTGCCCTCCCACTTCCGGGGTGCGCGGGCCGGGCCCGGGAGCGGCCTGAGCGGGCGTTGGGGCTGGGCAGGCAGAGTGGGGCGAGGGGGCCGTGCGCGCCCGAGGGCTGGGGACTGGGTGCGGGAGCCGCGCTCGCCCGAGGGTGGGAACGGCGTCCGGGCGAGGGCCGAGCTCACTCCGAGGACCGGTGTCAGGACCCGGGAGCGGCTGCGTCTGCCCGCGGGCGGAGGCCGTGCAGCTGCAGGGATGGCGCTCGCCCCGAGGGCAGTGCTGGCAAGAGGCTGCGCCCGTCCCGGGCAGCGCAGGGTCTGGCTCCCCTTGACCCAGGACCAGGCGCCCACGGACAGGGAGTCTTGGGCTGCTCCTTTGCGGCGGGACACTGAAGGTGCATGGATGCCCGCCGCCCGAGCCGATGGCTGTTTGGTGAGCGGGGCTGCTCCTCCCGCCGGGTGTTGGGCTTGGCTGGGCACAGGGGTGGGACAGAGGTTGCTGCGGCCGGACTGCCCTGGGGTCCCTGGGAGGAGGGTCCAGGACTGAAGTGCATCCGTTCGTGGGGACTATGGCGGAAAGGTGAAACATTAGAGGGAAGTGGGCCGAGCTAGGGATCATCTCTGTGGTACCTTGGAGGGCTCAGTGACTGAGCTCCTCTCAGATGCCAGGCACTCTGCTAAACCCCTGTACACTGTGTTTCATTGACTCTTCATAGGAAGACCACGAAGGTACTCTCTTTCCTTATTTAAAAGATGAGGAACCTGAGGCCAAAGAGTCTTGCCCCCAGCCAAAATAGAGGCCTCCCTCACTCACTAAACCAGGAGAGTGTTCCTAAGATTGGGGCGGTAGCAGCATGGAGGGGAAGATATACCCTGCAAGAAATAGACTGACTTCAGGAGGAGAAACAGAAGCCAGGCACTGACCCCAGGTCTTGGTCCCCACATCATCCCACCCCTCTAGAGGTGCATGGCACAGAGCAAAATGCATGGGTTCCAGAGCCTGGCAGAACATAGCATAAATACTGCTTCATCCTTTTTCAGCTTGGTGTCTTGTGACAAGGCACTTCACCTCTCTCAGCTTCAGGTTTCGGATCTGTAAAGTGGGGGTATAGTACAGGGCAATTGTGAAAGTCCTCTTGGGCTAGAGCCTGTTCCTGAACATTCACTGCTATATCCTCAGCATTTAATATAGTGCTGGGCCCAACAATAAATATGTTGGATTAATTTAATCAACAGTAGCAAGTCCTAAAGGTTTGGAGGTGGGGAAGGAGACGGTGATCCAGCCCTGATGCTCTTACAAATTCAGAGCTCAGTATGGTTGAACAGTGTAGATCATCCCACACTCCAGATGAAGGCCTGAGCCTAGAATACTCAGGGGTCCCCATGTGGGCCTCCTGGGACACAGGCTGTCCACAGAGCTGGTAGCTTTGACTGCCTCTTTCCTTACAAGTAACAAATGGGCTGGGATGGTTGTCAAGAGCCCTCTTTTGAGAACTGGGATGGAAGTGGATGAGAGTCTGGGGCCAGGCCAATTGGGTACAAATAAAAGTGTGGCTATGGACAACTTATTTAACCTTTCTGTGCTTCTGTATATAATACCATAAAGAGAGTGGTCAGAATTAATTGGTTTATTACAGACAAAGCAGTTAGAACAATGTAAGCCATCAATAATCACTTTCTCTAAACTCTCAAGGCAGGGAGTTTTGTCTGTTTCATCACTGTATTCACAGAATTTAGAACGATGTCTGGCATGTAGTAGGCCTTCAGTAAATATTTGTAAATTCAGTGAATGGGTTAAGCATGGTGTTGCATGCCTGTAATCCCAGCAACTCTGGAAGCTGAGGCAGGTGGATTGTGAGGTCAAACCCTGCCTTGGCAATGGCGAGTCACTGAGCAACTCAGTGAGACCCTGTCTCTAAATAAAATACAAAATAGGGCTGGGGATGTGGTTCAGTGGTTAAGCACCTGGGTTCAATCCCTGGTTTAAAAAAAAAAAAAAAAAAAAAAAAGAATAAATAAGTCTGTGCCCAACCCCACATTGCTCAAACCATGGCAAAGATTTTTAATCAGGTGCCCCTGAATTTAAAGTCACTTATTACAATTTCAGAGATGAGATTTCACATACCCTCTCCTCTGGATTGTTGTGAAAGTCCTCTTGGGACTTTCTGGTCAGCCTATGGCCTTTTTCTTCTACCCAGTGGTCCTAATTCTACCCTGTTGTCCTATAAAATGTGTCTGTTTCCTGAAATACCTTCTGAACCTGACCTTGCTCCACACGCTGAAACAGAAAGGGAGCCCACACAGTTCTTGCCCTTCTGGGTCCTGGTTCTTGGAGAGAGAGGCTCATCTTAAAACAGATGGCACTGGGCTGGGGATGTGGCTCAAGCTGTAGCGCGCTCGTCTGGAATGCGTGCGACCTGGGTTCGATCCTCAGCACCACATACAAAAAAACAAAGATGTTGTGTCCGCCAATAACTAAAAAATAAATATTAAAAAATTCTCTCTCTCTCTCTCTCTAAAAAAATAAAAAATAAAATAAAAAAAAAATAAAACAGATGGCACAAGGCTGACCCAGCCCTCAGAGCCCAGGTGAAGGCTGTGGGGAGGGGTTTCCATCTGACTAGGGGTTCTCCAGGTCCATGCAGGAGGAGTGCTGTGTGACCTGTGGAGTGGAAGAGTTGCAGGAATAAAAAAAACTCCTGTATCCTCCTCACCCCTCCACTGTCCAACATTCCTCCCTCTAGCTCTAGGTTTTTGTTGGTTGGTTTGAACCATTTGAGATTAGGTTGCCGAGGTTCATCTAAACCCCTAAGTGCTTTAGTGTATATTGCATAAGAATAAGAACAGTATCTTAAATAATTATAGCAATCAAATTCAGAAAATTTAATATTGGCATATTACTAATAAATAATTATCCATATTAGCTAGTCTGTTTTCTAATTTCAATAATTATCCACATTAGCTAGTTTTCCAAATTTTCCTCCTTTTCCCCAGTTCTATCCAGGATCACACAGCATATGTTATCATGTCTCCCAAACTGGGCTAGTCTTACGTGTCCTCATGATCACATTCAGGATAATCATTTCATCGGGTGTGCTTTGTAGTGGTGGGTCCTTCTTAGTGCATAGGATCAGGAGGCACCTGATGTCATTTCATCACATTATTAGTTATATTAACTTTGATCATTTGATTAAAGTGGTGTCTGCCAGATTTCTCTAATTTGCGGTGTTTTTTTTTTTTCTTCAAAGTTTTCATTGGCTGCAAGTAGTAGGGAAGGAGGTAGCCTTAAAGGTCCTTAATGGTTAGAGAAGATGGTGGGCCTGTTCAGGGAGATGGCATTGTTTTGCTGATGGCACACCACCTATAAGGGCCAGAATGGAACTAGAAAAAAGATATCTTGGTGCTCAGTCCTTTCTTCCTCATACTTCACCAGGTTTTAGGACCCCAGTGTCATTAAATCAGGGACAAAAAGATAAAGAATAGTATCTCAGAAAATATAGGCTAAGGACAGTTAGTGCCCAGCAAATCCTTATATGTGATCAAAAACCCTCCCAAAGCCAGGCACAGAGGCATAAGCCTGTAATCCCAGAGGCTCATGAGGCCAAAGCAGGAGGATCACAAGTTCAAGGCCATCCTCAGCAACTTAGTGAGACCTTGTCCCAAAATAAAAAATGAAAAGGCTGGGCATATAGCTCAGTGATAGAGAGTCCCTAGATTTGATCCCCAGCCCCTACAAAAAAAGACTTTCCAAATACACCACTGCCTATTCTTCCTCAGGTAACTATTTATTCCCATAATGCCTCATTATATCTTACATCTTCTACCTTACAGGCTTTTAAGAATCTGTTTTTCGGGCTGGGGATGTGGCTCAAGCGGTAGCATGCTCGCCTGGCATGCGTGTGGCCCTCATGCCTCAGCACCACATACAAACAAAGATGTTGTGTCCACCGAAAAACTAAAAAATAAATATTAAATATTCTCTCTCTCTCTTAAAAAAATTATTTATTAAAAAAATCTGTTTTTCTACAAATGCATGTGTGAATCACCAAGTACAGGGTCTATAGTTCATTAATCTTCTACAGTGCCTGACAGAGCCAGGCTCAGTATTTATAAGTGAATAAAGTCTTAGCTCTGAGCCTCCTAGCAACCAAGTCAGAAAGAGAATGAAGATGTAGTTTGTGTCTCAGTTTTCTCTAATCAGAGGAAGCAAAACTTCTTGGTGTTAAATATTGTTTAGGAGAGCAGCTGAGTTAGACAGGGGACCTATTACTTTCCCATGTCTGATATGAAGGACAAAAAGAAGGAAGGGAAGGTGCTAGTGATCAGGTTTCATAGCAAGTGGATAGAAAGGCATTTCTTGAGTCCTTCAGCAGCTCTGTGCCACGCTTCCCAAGAGTAGGAAAGAACCAAGGAGTCCATTTCTCATAAAGTGAGATCCTGAGAAATCTTTTTGTTTTGTGGTAAAATATACATTAAAATTACCATTTTAATATTTTTTAACCACTTTTTTTTTTTTGTACCAGGGATTGAACGCGGGGACACTTAACCCCTGAGCCACTTCCCCAGCCCTTTTTATATTTTATTTAGAGACAGAGTCTCACTGAGTTACCTAGCACCTCACTACATTTGTGAGCTGGCTTTGAACTCATGATCTTTCTGCCTCAGCCTCTTGAGCCACTGGGATTACAGGTATGCGCCACTGTGCCCAGCTTTTTAAAATACTTTTAAGCTTACAGTTCTATGATATTAAGTACAATCACATTCTTACACAACTATCACCACCATCCATCTCCAGAATTTCATCGTCCCCGGATGAAAGTCTACCTATTCAACCCTAATTCCCCATTCCCTCTGCCCCAGCTCCTAGCAACCACCATTATACTTTCTGTCTCTATGAATTTAGTTATTCTGGATATTAATTAATTTATTTATTTTTGCAGTACTAGGAATTGAATTTAGGGATGCTCTACCACCAAACTGTAATTATTTTGAGACAGGGTCTTGCTAAGTTACTGAGGCTGGCATGGAGTTTGTGATCCTCTTGCCTCAGCCTCTTGAGTAGCTGGGATATAGGTATGCACCACTGTCCCCAACTATTTGATATATTTAAGTAGTGCAATACAATATTTATTCTTTGCTTTCTGGCTTACATCACTTAGTATAATGTCTACAAGGGTTAAGCATTTTGTAGTATTATCAGAATTTCATTCCTTTTTTTAAAAAAAAAATTTAGCTGTAGATAGACAATATCTTCATTTTATTTATTTATTTTATGTGGTGTTGAGAATCAAACCCTGTGCCTCACATATGTTAGGCAAGTGCTCTACCACAATCCCAGCCCAAATTTCATTCCTTTTTAAAGCCATATAATATTTCATTGTCTGCATAGACCACATTTTCTTTAGCCATTCATTCATTGATGGAACATTTTGGGTTGTTTTTACTTCATGGCTACTGTGAGTAATGCTGTTGGGAGCATTATTTACAAATAGATATTCAAGACCATTTTCAAGTTTTTTGAGTATGCCCGAAACTGGAACTGCTGATATATATGGTAATTGTTTTATAAAATAATATTTTTTTCAGTGCCAGGGATGAAACCCATGAATGCTGGATTGAATGCTCTATCACTGACCTATGTCCTTAGCCCTTATGTTTAAATTTTTAAGGAACTCCATACTGTTTCCTACAGTACTTGGCCATTTTTGCTCTCACCAGCAACACACAGGGCTCTGTTCTACATCCTGCTAACACTTGTTTTCTGGGTTTTTGTTGTTTGTTTAGTTTATTTTTTTAATATTTATTTTATTTCTTAGTTTTAGGTGGACACAATATCTTTATTTTACATGTATGTGGTTCTGAGGATCGAACCCAGTACCTCATGCATGCTACTGGAGCACTCTACCACTGAGCCACAACCCCAGCCCCGTTGTTTGTTTAGTTTAAGTAGTCATTCGGTGGGTGTGAAGTCCCAGGAGATTTTTGAAATTTGGGTCAGACCAAAAAAGTTTCTCTTTGGGGAGAGAAGAGCACAAACAGATGGTTAATGGGCACGCTTGGCCTCTCAGAAGTCAGAAGTCTATTCTCTTTAGGACGACCGGAGCTTGTCCCTGTCCTCCAGTCCTGACTTCTTCCTGGCTTCTCCAGGCAGGTACCTGGCTGCAGGAGACCATGCAGTGAGCCATGCCCCGGCCAGGACAGCCCCGCCCATCATCTGGGCCACCTCGCTTGGGACCCTGGGAGCAGCCAACAGAGCTATGCTTGGAGGCATATAATGAAACACCGCAGCACCCACCAGGCCGCCGCACCCGGAGGCCAGACCCCAAGGACCCTGGCCACCATGGGCCAGAGAGCATTACCTTCATCTCGGGCTCTGCAGAGCCAGCCACCGAGCCCCCAGCCTGCTGCCTGCTCTGGCGTCCCTGGGGGTGGGACTGGTGTCGGGCTGTTTTCTGCTTCCGCCGCTGCCGGGATTGCCTCCAGCGCTGCGGGGCCTGTGTGCGGGGCTGCAGCCCCTGCTTGTCTGCCGGGGACTCCACTGAGGAGGCTGCTGAGGCCAGCTGGGCCAAGGAGCACAATGGAGTACCCCCCAGCCCCGACCGCCCACCCCCTAGCCGCCGGGATGGCCAGCGGCTCAAGTCTGCTGTGGGCAGCAGCTTCAGCTACCCTGATGTCAAGCTCAAAGGCGTCCCTGTGTACCCCTACCGCAGCACCACCTCCCCAGCTCCGGACTCGGACTCCTGCTGCAAGGAGCCACTGGCCCAGCCCCCTCCCACACGGCACAGCCTGCCGAGCACCCTTGCCAGCAGTCCCCGAGGCTCAGAGGAGTACTACTCTTTCCACGAGTCGGACCTGGACCTGCCGGAGATGGGCAGCGGCTCCATGTCGAGCCGGGAAATCGACGTGCTCATATTCAAGAAGTTGACCGAGCTGTTCAGCGTACACCAGATCGACGAGCTGGCCAAATGCACGTCGGACACGGTGTTCCTGGAGAAGACCAGTAAGATCTCGGACCTGATCAGCAGCATCACGCAGGACTACCATCTGGACGAGCAGGACGCCGAGGGCCGCCTGGTGCGCGGCATTATTCGCATTAGTACCCGAAAGAGCCGCGCCCGCCCACAGACCTCAGAGGGGCGCTCCACCCGGGCTGCAGCCCCAGCTGCTGCCCCTGACAGTGGCCATGAGACTATGGTGGGCTCAGGTCTCAGCCAGGATGGTAGGTGGGACCAGAGAGTCAGAGTAGGGAAGGCTCTGGCCAAAGGAGGGGCTGGACTGGGGTCTTGGGCCATTGTGGGTCTTCCTTTCTCCCGTGCATTCCACTCCCCAGCTCCCACTCTGGCCCTTCCCAGTGAGATCTGAGAAAGGCTGAGAGGAGCATGCAGACCCTGCAAGCTCTCTGGTCATTGCTCTGTCCCAGAAGTGCAATGACCCACCCAGTCAACAATTTGACCTAATAGGCTCCTCCATTACTACTTGCCTGAGTAGCTTCCAGACCTAGCCTGGGGCCCATATGAACTTGAACCTCTAACATAGCCTGGCCTAACCAAAAGACCCACCTGCCCATCTACCACAGCAACTGACATGCACACATGCAGTTTATCTGTGTCCTTGTTTTTAAGCATTATTCCTCTAGCCCTACCCAGGGATGAGTGACCCCTCATTAGGCAGCAAACCGAATTAGGGGGTGGGGATAAAAGAATGTGAAATGATCACTGCTCCCTTATGTTCCCTTCCTAGAACTGACAGTGCAGATCTCCCAGGAGACAACAGCAGATGCCATCGCCCGGAAGCTGAGGCCATATGGAACCCCAGGTGTGGTCCTGATCCCACAAGGAATGCAGAGGGTGGGGGACTATCCTAGGGGCCCCTCACATGCCCCTTTCCCAGCTACTTTTTGGGATGGGGAGGATAAGGTCAGAAAGGGACAAGGGGGCTGAGCAGCCATAAACTCATCCCAGTCTTATAAACTGGCTTCAAATAGGAGGTGCCCGGAAAAAATGGGCTAGAAGGGACCCAATCCGAATTCCAGTCTTCAGCCTTCTGTTACAAAGGCACCCTGTGTGGTTCTACTGTCTTCTGGGCCTTCACAACAACCCCCTGGGAGAAGGAGGCTAGGATTCAGATGTTTAAAATTAAAAAAAAAAAAAGTCACCCAAGCTGAGTGACTTGACCAGGCTCAAGCCCTGCTCTGTTCCCTCTCATCAGGCTTCTCCCTGGCAGTGGGCCCTGGATGAACTCTTTGCCCTCTCTCAGCCTGTTTCCTCCTCCCACCAGGGTACCCAGCCAGCCATGACTCGGCCTTCCAGGGCACTGACACAGACTCCTCAGGGGCACCCCTGCTCCAGGTGTACTGCTAATCCCTGCTGGGTACAGCAGCACAACCCTTCTTGGGAGCAACGTACCCTACAAAATAAAGAGGCATCAGGACCTTCTTTGAGGGAGGCTGGACTGTGAGGCCAGAAGCAGTGCCCACTCTAGCTCTTCCTGCCTTCACTGACTGCTTCCTGGACCATGTGCATTTCACAGGGCCAAAGTGCCCACATCCCCAGCTGGCCTGACCCCTACCTGGACCTATTCCTTTCTGTGGATCAATCATGGAAAACAAAGACTTAAAGTTATCTTCCAGGACTGAATCCCAACTCTGTCCTCGTAATGTCACCCTAAGCAGTCATCATTGCAAACTTGAAGCTTAAGTAGACCGAGTTGTGGGTGGGCAGTGCCCACTTCACCTTATGCTATTGAGCAGTTTGTTCTAGCTAACAACCACAGTTGAAAGTACAAAGGTAATGGACTCCTATCTTATAATCTGGGCTACAACATAGTCCTTTCTGCCTGCTTTGCCTTGCCTAATGGCTGCCCAGGAGACAGGACATGGGTATGAGGCTGGGCTGTGTGGCAGAGTTGAGGTCATGATGTGAAGCAATACTGCCTGTGTTCCAAGAACAGTGTAGTACCTGAATAGCTTTTGGACTTCTCAGTTCTAGGGGTGCTTGTTGGCACCATTGCTGCTCCCCTTGTCCACTGCCTGCAGGGTGGCCTGTCAGCCATCCCAGTCCCCCCAAATCCCTGATCATTTGTCAGSAGCCCCCACCCAGCTTAACCCTGCTGCTCCCCTCCACCTCTTCCCTATGCTAACAGCACAGTGGTTTTCAGTTACCTTGGCCTTTCTTGCAACCCCAGAGTATAAGGGAACCTGGGGCTGAAAAGTCAAGGAATTAGTGGGTCACAGAGGTGGTAACTGCGGCTCTGGACCTGGAAGCTAACCTTGGGACAGTAGAAGGCTCCCCTTGCTTGGGCACCAGCATCCAGCCTATCCTTCACTGCTCCTCAAACAGGCATGTCTAATAAGATCCTTTCAGCAGAGACTGGGGCAGGTCCACCAACCCATCTTCAACTAATAAACAAGCTGGAAGATGTCCATGGTCTTCCATTCCTACCCCTTTATCTGCAGTCCTTTTTATGTCCCCATGGGCACCCTTTGGAAAGTGACTAGACAAACTACTTGTTTGTCCAGTTTCCTATTAGATACACAGGATACTCCCCTAGGGCTATGACCACGGGGCCCAGTTGTAGCTCCTGCAATCTAACTGGGCCCTTTCCTTAGGCTCTGTTGTCCCATCTAGGTCAAGGCCTGAGAATAAAACCAGGCTGGGGTGTGTGTAGCTCAGTGGCAGCATTTGTCTAGTAGTCAGGTCCTCCCTGGGTTTGATTTCCATCCAACCAACTGCAGAGCACCAGAGTAGGAGAGTGACACCAGTCCCTCCACTCCAGCCTCAGCCGTAAAGCACCTTTTTCTAGTAAACAGCCTTGTGAACTATCATCTGCATTCCCCCAAAACAGGATTTATCAAATTTGGGAAAGAGACAAAGGTAAGTGCTGCAGTAACCTCTATGGTGCCTGAAATGACCTCTACCCTCTGGCAGAAGCAGGGCAGGGCCAGCTAAAGGTCCTGGGGCTGGACAGAGGTAACATGTCCTCAGCTCTGTTACGCCTAGGGGCTGGCTCTGAGGCCTTAAAAACTGCACATGTCCAGATGAGAGACAAAAACAGTAAGGCCTTACCAGACTTTACCCTATACTTTAGGGCAGGTCCCTGTACTACACAGAACAAACCTAAGGCATGGGTGATCCCATCTCCCTCACCTGAGCTAGGCGGTGTCACCAAGGCCTTGTTGCTCTTTTGCCCTGGGAAACAGTCCAGAGTTGGAAAAATACTTGATTCAGGGCTGGGGTGGTGGAGGGACTCTCAGAGATGAAAATAAAATCAATTAAGTCCAGCTGGCCTTAATCTTTGCTGGTTCATGGGCTCCTTTGAGAATCTGACGTACGTCCTGCTCTCTGTAGCCAGAAAATCTCTCCTTTGCTTGGAGCCATACAGACTAAAAACCTTGTCCTAATCCTCCAAGAGAGGAGGAGAAATTGAGGCCCCATGAGGGGCAAGGACTTGCCCTAGGTCACATGGCAGAATCTGGGCTAAAAGCCAAAACCCTATCTCCTAGCAGCAGCCAAAAGAGGCCTGCCCCAGGGGAAGGCCAGAAGGAGGAAAGGACACAGGTGGAGCTGGGTGAAGAGGTTTAATGTGTAACAGTAGGCCAACTGGGGAGGGCAAGACCCCCAAGGCCCCAGCCCTTCTCCCATGACGCCCCAGACCTGTGTGCCTGGGCCAGTCCTATGCCTGCCCCAGCCCTGAGGCTCCCTGGTCCCAGGGAAGGATGGGAAAGAAGCTGGATGGCTGGGGGCTCAACCCCAAGAGTTCAGGGAGGCAAACACAGGAGCTAGTTGAATTTGGCCTTGGAGAAATCCATCTCTGGATGCTGATCCATGAACCTGGAGAAGTGGAAGGAGAAGGTCAAACAGGCAGTCCTCCTAAGCCAGTTTGGTCTCCCAGTTTAGAAGTCAGGTCTAACCTCTTTAGAACCCTAGGAAACCTGGAGTCAGGCTGGGAAGGGGTGGGGTCCCAGGTGTCTGAGGCCCACTGGAGGCCCTGTGGCTGGAAACAGGTGCCAACACTGGACACACTTTTCCTGTAGGTGGCAACAACTGCCTGTAACCCCTTGCTTCCTACTGAGTCAGCCTTGCCCTAAGAGTGACCTCAGCAACTGATAAGGGTAGGTAAGTCAAGGTCATAAAACCATAAACTTGGCTGGCTCATGCTGGAAGGGGGCAGGGCAACCCCTAAGTCCTGCTGGGTGACCCCACTCACTACTGTCACCCAGGTCTGAGCTTCAGGTACCCACCCTACCCAAGTCCCCATCTGAGTTGCTCACTTCTTTAGAATCTCCTGTTTCTTTTGCTCATCCGATGTGGGCAGCCCCATGGACTTCTGCCTCTGGTCATACATCATTTTTTCCACCATGCTGCGTGTCTCACTGTCCAGGTCTGATAGCTGCAGGCAGGCAAGGACAGTGAAGGTCAATGTCTAAGACTAAGGTCCCTCACCTCCCTGCCCAAGTTCTTCCAACCAGCCAGGGCTCACCTTGGAGTTCTCAGGGTTAATCTTCTTGGTATTGATCTCAGGATCACTGGACACCAAACGGCTCCACCATTCCATCTTATTAATCTGTAAAGAAAAGGACACCCAGTGGTAGCAAGCCGGGGACCTTCACTCTGCCTCAGCAATCACCCTTCAACCATTTCAGAACCAAATTTCCTCCCATCCACATCCTGTACCTGAGACTCGCACAAGCCTGTGCTGGGACCAGAAATATAGATAAGCCAGACCTCTGCTTTCCTAGCAGCTGGGGGAGACAGACGCAGAGGCCAACAGTGACAAACAGCATCATAAAGGAAAGAAAAAGCTGGATGCTATGGCAAATACCTGTAATCCCAATGGCTCAGGAGGCTGAGGCAGGAGGGTCACAAGTTTAAAGCCAGCCTCTGAGGCCCTATGCTACTTTCTGTCTCAAAATTAAAAATAAAAAGGGCTGCAGATGTAGCTCAGTAGTTAAGCACCCCTGGGTTCATTCCCTGAACCAAAAAATAAAAGAAAGTATGGAGGGAGACAGTCATGAATGGTGGAGGGAAAGAAGCTAAAGAGTGAAACCAGGCTTCTTGGTGACATGGGTATTAATCCCAGCTAACTGGGAGGTTGAGGCAGTAGGATGGCACTTCAAGGCCAGCCTAGGCAACTCGGTGAAATGCTGTCTCAAGTTAAAAAGGGCTGGAAGTATAGCTTAGTGGTACTCGATTGTCTGGCATATGCAAAGCCCTGGGTTCAAACCCCAGTACTGCAAAAAAATATGTCCCTTGATAGAGACCCCTTTTATTTACTGCTGTGTCTCAGCTCTGGAAAGGCAGTGAGGTAGAGAAGGTCGGTTTCCTGAGGGTAGACTTTTCTACATTTTGCTCACTCTTCTCTCCAGTCCTTAGAACAGCAAGCACATGCACAGAGTAGGGGTTCAAGTATGTGCAGAACTGAAAGCATGTGCAAACTTGATGGAAAGGCAGAGACTTGGCACCAAACAGGGTTCAATTCTGACTCTCAATCACAGCTCTTTCCTGATTCCAAAGTCCCCTAGTATGGCCCAAGTGGATCAACAGGTCCCTACCCCTCTTGTCAGCACCTGTGCTAGGAAACCAGACCTCACGCACCTTCTCCAAATGCACTGTCACCACCTTGCCATCCTCAATGAGCCAGGAGCTCTCCTCCACCTTCACTTCGTTGTAGAGTTCCCCATCAATGACTGCTGGTTGCCCCTTGAGCCCCACCCTGAGGTGCCGCCGCTGGATATCCACCACCACGTCCTTCCCCTTCAGCCGGAAATTGACACGAAAGGGCACTGCCAACTGCATGGACACAGACAGTCAGGAGGGGTCCCCAGGGGCCACCAAGACCCCAGGTTGGTTCCCTGACCTCCACCCCTGGCTCCAGTCACTCACATCCAGCTCTGACAGGGTCTGGGTCCAGCGGTAGTTGGGCAGGTCAGCCCCATTGCCCAGGTTGGGCTTCAGTTTCCCTTTGTCCTTCTCGTCCTCTTCTTCCTCCTCCTCCTCAGCTTCCTGCTCACAATCGGAGGTGCTCAGACAAAGACCAAACTCCACTGGGCCAGGCCCACAGCTGGCACTGGGCATATAGCCACAAAACAGACTTGGCCCCTGCCCACTTCATGCAGGGGCAGATAGACCCAATACCCTAATCCACCAGGAACCAGAGGTAAAACTAGTTCTGATCTCTAAGAGGAACTCAAAACTATTATACCATGTGACAAAGGACATGGCTGTACCCACAGACCCCAGTCTACTTTGGATGGTGCCCTATATAGGCACTGCCCTCTCAGGATATTAGGCTTTCTACGTAAGGTCTAAGGCTAGTGGGAGCTGTTTTGTTTTTTAACCGATATCCAAGTGTTCTATGTGAA